CACTCATCTGCATGTCATACTGACTGACAGTATTATTTCTCTTCCCCAGCAGACTCCAAGGGCATTTAAATTAAAGGTACAGTGTTCTGCACTAATATTAAGTCTCTCTGAAGCCTAGAAACACCCTTTTTTAAGTTAAATTCACAGCGAATATATTCGATTCGAATCGAATATTGTCCACGAATTCGCCGAATCAGTCGAATCGAATTTTTGAATACTTCGCTCATCTCTAAATACAACCAATGTATATTTTGTTGGGTGCTGTGCAGACAGGTTTATGTGTTAGATACTCTTGTTGGTAACAACATCTTTCTGGTTGTCTCACTGGGGCAATGTGTTTCTTTCCTTTAACATCTTTTGATTATCTCCTGTCCTTACCATGGGGAGGCACAATCTGGAAAGTATCAAAGTAGTGTCCTGGATGTTAGCGGGTTTAACTCCAAAGATTGCACTGATGTTCCATTACACTAAATCAAACATCTCTAAAATACTCCTCTTGCAGGAGACACATTTAAAGGGTGGAAATATCCTGTCACTCAAGTACCCCTGGGTACTGAGGGCATTTCATTCCACGTGCTCTTCGTTCCCTCGGGGGCTTTCAATTCTCATTAAGGCTAGGTTCACATCAATGCAGGTAGCAGTAGATGCGTTTTTCCGATGTGGTTTTAATTCATTTTGCGTGGTTTTTGGCTAATAGGATAGTATGACAGTTCTGCGACTTTGATGCAATAGTGTGACTTTTGATGAAATTTTACACTCTCTGGTACTCAAGTAGCATCAGTAGCATCGAAGTAGTGCAGGAACCTTTATGTAAGAATGAACGGTGAGCGCAAAGAAAATAATGATAATGAAGGAAGCAGCTGGCACAGTGTCAGGGTCCTGTCTACGGCAGGAGTTCTGGAAGATCTAGCACTTCTGCCAATACTCTACATGGCCGCAGAAGTACACATCAGCCTCAGTCTGGTGCCACACGGTCTTCATAAGGAGGATCATCACTTCCTCTGGTTGCTGGATGATCTATAGCTCCCCGTGCCCTGTTCCTGGTTCCTGTGATTCTGACCTGTGATTTCCTGTTACCGACTCGGTTTGCTCCTGGACTTGTCTACTCTGATTTACCCCTGACCTGACCTCGGCTTGGCTTACGGATACCCTCTCTCCTCTGTGAATGACCTCGGCTTCCCCATCGGACTATGTCCGCTCTGATTCCCACCTGGTACCTAACCTTGGCTTGAACCGACATCCCAGTAAACATCCAAATCCCCGAAGGGCTTGCATACCACGCACAGGTGCCTCCCATCTGCAGACCTATCTCCGTGCACCAGCTGTGCTTCTGAGTGGACCACCAACCAGCACTCCTACAGGTGACCTGTGCAACTTTGGGCCTGACTCCCACTGTCCCACTCTCAGGGGAGTCTGGAACTTAGCCACAAGGGAAGCCCTCTCTCCATTGGCCTCCATCACCAGGTACGTGATACACAGCGAGGTAAACCCTCTGCTTCCCCTTAAACAGACAATAAAAAAAAAGACAAATAAAAATAAAACAAAATGGTGCAGCGCTAGACTATATGAAGCAGATAAAAACGTGTTGCCAAACAATACACATGAATAATGTCCAACATATGAGTGACAGGGACTTAAATATTGCACTGTGATATGTCTCAAAAATAGAACTTGACCAGATATTAGTCTCAAACTGTGATGTGATCAAATAAAAAGCAAAAAATAAAAGTGACTTCTGTGTTACCCTTCCACCATTATGCACTCACCAGAAGCAAGTGGCATTGAATGAAATGACTTTGAAGCAAATCTGCTCGATTCTTACCTCCAGTCACCGATCCACCCAAGGTTGGGATTCCTCCTGAAGTGAGAGCTCACAAACAGAGCTCAGAGACAGCGCAATGTAGTGTAGTATATTTATTTAAAATAATAGCAGCCATGTGGAGCCGAGTACAAACTGAGGAATAAAACCACTCACAAAGATAGCCACTGGACCATTACATGGACTTGGCAGCGTGAGGGAGGAGCCTACGTGCAGACAACTTCCGCTTCCAATCACCTTATGTGATCGCAGCGGAAGTGGGAAAGGTACCTGTCAAATTTGGGTACCTGCTCCCCAAAGGTGCCAATCCTTAATGGGGAGCTGGGGAAGAAGACTTAAAGCAGAACTTCCCCTTTTGGGTGGAGCTCCACTTTAATGTCTATTACGTGTTTTTTCTCCAGTACCAGGGGTCTCCGTATGTGGATTTGACCCTCTGTAGTTTGTAATCTTTTATTACTGAACATCTTCAATATAAAGATATTTAAAAACACTTCAGCTTTAATGGCTCATTGTCATATGATGCAATGCAATTACAATTCAGAGTAAAAATACAGGAAAAGCTCAGACATGAGGAGATTAAGGGGGGATATGATCAACATGTATAAATACATCAGTGGTTCATATAGTGAACACGGTGTAGAGTTATTCACCCTGAGGTCATCCCAGAGGACAAAGGAGCACTCTTTACGTCTGGAGGAAAAGAGATTTAATCTCCAAATACGGAAAGGTTTCTTCACAGTGAGAGCTGTGAAAATGTGGAATAGACTCCCTCAAGAGTTGGTTCTGGCCAGCTCAGTGGATTACTTTAAAAAAGGCCTGGATTCTTTCCCAGATACACAGATAACTGGATAATAACATTTATATGTAAAGTTGATCCAGGGAATATTCGATTGCCTTTCAGGGGAACATGAAGGAATTTTTTCCCTGCAGGAGCAAATTGGGTCATGCTTTGCTGGGTTTTTTGCCTTGCTCTGGATCAACTGTGGGTATAGGATTATAACTTTTTTTTGAATGGTTGAAGTGGATGGACTTTTGTCCTTTTTCAGCCAGACTAAATATGTAACTATGTTCCAACTAGTGTGAAGCTCTGTGTTGAAGTCCTGGAAGCTGCATTTTTAGAAGTGGTGCCCTGCATTTTGTAACTAAAATATGTTGTATAAAAAATTGCTAGTTATAGTTTTTTGGCATAGAGACTTTTCCATACACAGGAGTTAAATCAGTGACCACCCAAAAGTTGAAAAGAAGATGCCAAGTTCACAAGTATAGTAGAGATGGGGGCTGAGCACTGAGTAGGGTAAACTCAGAGTTAAGTCTTCATAATGTGAAAGCCTACTATGCATATGTGCACATTATTGCCAAAATGCAGCAAATATAAAATGCATGGCAATATTACCACAATGTCTGTTGCCACATTTATTCCAGGGGAACAAGCCTGAAGCCAGTCATATACACCATTGGTGGTCAACATCTTTTTAGGAACCCAAGCAATCAAATTAAATAAATAACAGTCATTCTGTTCACAACACAAATACCTACAAAGAAACATTATAATACGGTTTTCCTTGTAATATGTTGAAAAGTGTACAGAAATGATTACATGATGCACAAACTGTCTTGTTTAGGAGAAGGGAAGTATGTATTCTATTCCTCTTTGATGTAGAGTTTGATTAATGGTGACAACATAATTTGTTTACACAAAAGATGAAGAATAATTATAAAGGCACTTATAACAAACAGTCCTGGAGGAAATAAAATGGCAAACAGGTACATTCTGCAGTAGCAAACGTAGGTTTGGATTTCCAAATTGAGCATAAATAGAGATTTAATTCCAGGTATGGGCACACCAGGACATGAAGCACACATCTGTCCAGCATTGTCACACTGTTCTTTTCTGAATGCATTATTTGGGATCCCACACTAAAAGTGGGGGTTCCGCTCCAGATTCCTGTGTATTCAAATCTGGTGACTAATGTGAAGGGTGAAGGCTTGGGGAGAGCAGCTCCTGGCTCAATGTGAAGAGGAGCAAGGTCCTGGCTGCTGCAAAGCAACAAAACCCAACAGTCACTATGGTAAAAGCAGCTTCAGCCTGGCTCCATCCACACACATCACCCCACCCAAGGGACTTAAGCTGGCCATACACGTATAGATTTTAATTCGAGAATTTTCGTTTCAAGAATATTCGTTTGATTTTCTAATCGTTAGTGGGGTCAAATCGATGTTCATTTTCAACACCAGTGACAGGAAAATTCGAAGGGGCAGGAAGGAAAACTTTTCTTGATCAAATGAATTTTCGGCCAGTGAATGTGGTTATTATTCAGAGATAATTCATTTTAAAATCGAATGTTAAAAGCAAAAGGCAATTTTCGAACAACATTCATCCATTTATGTTCAAGGAGTTTTTGTATGGCTTTTCTTACGTGTATTCTGGTCCAAAACTCTACATGTGTATGGCCAGCTTAAGTCATGTCCTCCATGACTTCCTGTGGGCAGGGTGAAATGTGTCAGTGGGGTGTGGCCTGGATGGAGCCAGGCTGAGGCTGTTTTTACCATAGTGATAGTTGGGTTCTGTTGGTATACAGAACTCAGCGCTTTTCTCCTCTTTACATTATTTTTGGATGCTCAGCTTTCCCAGGATACCTTAAGAACACTGAATGCATTGACCCTCACCTAGCAGAAGCAGTTGAGGCCTAGGGACCAAGATTTAATGAAACAAATCAAACATGTTATATTATTTAATGTAGATATCTGGGAGAACTGCAAATTTACATGTTTGTTCAGCTCCCTCCAAACATGGAGGGGTCCACTCTCTCATAGTTCCTGGGTTTTCTCAAGACACAGATCTGGAAATACAGACTTCACTTATATAGCACCACCGCTGGTGAAATCAAATATTGCAGCATGGATATAAAATATTGTAAGAACTAATGTACATTAATTGGTGACACTGCAATCCTCCTAGTAGGAGCAACATTAGACTAGAGGCCTGATGTTGGAGGTGGTAGGAGCTCTGTGTCTTTACACTTGGCAGTCCTAATTAGTTAAAGTAATTAAATTTTAAAATGTATTTCAAGGGCTTTACAATTAAAAAAAAAAAAAAAAAAGCTCACAGATACTGTGAAAATTATTGATGTCTTAAATAAAACATTACAAAAATGAGGAATGCATTATAATAAATACAGAATCAAGAAATAAATTTCACTCCAAAATCAGCTATTACAAACGTGTGTCTAGTGAAACTGTTGGTCTTCAGGTGATGGGATATTATGGAAAACGTCTGGACATTGTCTGGTTGCATTGCATCTTTTGAAAAGAGGATCCTATGTGTAGTGACATGCTGCCACAACTTACAAAGGTAAGGCTTAAAGTCCAAGATGGGAGCAGGAGGTTCTGCTGAATGAGAAGATCCTTTGTTGGCATCATTAGAAAATTTCTGCATGAGTGTTTGTGTTGAAGCGAAAAGAACCAGCTTGTAATCTTTGAGCAGTTTATCCAGAAGCTCAATACATTTTCTCATGTTAGACTCTTGTTTGGCAATGCTGTCTCCCCCATTATTCCTGTCTATCCAGTAGAAGGAAGAAAGGCTATCTATGATTAATAGGCACAGTGTGGGATGACTGCAAAACATGTTTTCTAGAGAATATAGTGTAAGAAGCAGCTGAACGCTACTGTTGCAACAGACTAGGAAGAAACGACTCAAACACTCTTTCACCATCTCCTCATTGCTCTGTGCCAATCTGTGTTCAAGAATAGTCACCAGCCGCAGCATATCAAAGTGATAATCTGTGTCAATGTAGGTCACTTCCACCTGTAAACCACCTTCGGATTTAGGCAAGATGCACCGTGCAATTAGATGACAAAACATTTCCGTTTTCCCTGTCCCTTCAGCACCATGAAATTCGATTATATCACCTGTGTATGAAAGGCAAGTGTTGGCTTAATGTTTCTTTGGAAATTATCAGATGGCTGTTTTAAAACATCCTGTAAACCCAAAATAAAAACACTTCTTTATGTCAATGCTTCCAGGCGTCAATGTTCCCACTCTTGAGGTATCACATTTGGTAGCTAAAAGAAAGACTTGATGCACAACTGAACTTTAACCACTTGCTGACTGTACAACTTAGTTATATAGAGGAAGAGCAGCCTCCCTGTGCTGGATCACATACCTATTACCCACCTGGCTGTGCTGAGATGAATCACAGCACATGCCGATCCACCAGGTCCTGGCCAGTGAGTGACTGCCAGCACCCAGTGAACGGCTCTGAGCTTCACCGAACACAGCTTTGAGCTTCACCGAACACAGCTCTGCGAGTGTAAACACAGAGCTGTGTTCAGTGATTGGGGGTGAAAACAACTAGATTCCCAATAAAAGGAGCACACAGTACACACATAAACATTTGTTAGGCACACATTTAACCCCTTAATCGCCCTAGATGTTAACCCCTTCCTGCCTAATGTCCTTAGTACAGTGATAATGCATACTATTAGCCCTGATCACCGTAATAGTCACTGGCAGTTCCCCACAGAGTCAGTTAGTGTCAGATTGCCCTCCGCACTATCACAGTCCAGTTAGACGTTGCTGATTGCTGCTATTGCTAGCATGAAATAACTAAATAAATAAAAAATCCAGTAAAAATATATATGTAGATGCTATAACTTTTACACAAACCAATCAATACTGTACTGAAATGTATTGTAATTGTACTGCCTCCCTTATATTGTAAAGCACTGCGCAAACTGTTGGCGTTATATAAATCCTGTATAATAATAATAATCAATATACACTTATTGGTATTTTTTGTTTTTACTGAAGATGTAGCAGAATACATTTTGGCCAAAATTTATTAAGAGATTTTTTTTTTTTTTTATGGGATATGTTTTACAGCAGAAAGTAAAATATATTGTTTTTCTTTCAAAATTCTTGGTCTGTTTTCATTTATATAATAAAAAACCTAGAGGTGATCAAATACCACCAAAAAAAAAGCTCTATTTGTGTGAAAAAAATTAAATAAATGTCATTTGGATACAGCATTGAATTCCTGCACAATTGTCAGTTAAAGAAGCATAGTGCCGCATAGCAAAAAATGGCCTAGTCAGGAAGGGGGGAAAACCTTCCGGAGGGCAAGTGGTTAAATCAGCTTAGTACATTCCAAGTACATAAAAACAACATATTCAAAATATTAGACTCATTGCACATGGGGCTGTCTAGCTCCAGTGCGTCCCTCCTGGTGGTTTTGGGTACCCTCTTTTAGTCCAGCCCCACTGCCTGCAACCTGTCAAAGTCTATAGAAGGATGGAGCTTAATGCTGTACTGAGTGGTACCCGTGTTTAGTGCCCTATAAGTTCCTTTTTTCTCTTCAGAAAGCAGCCACAGCCCGAGCAGAAAAGCCTGTCTCCTGCTAGCATGCTGCAAGGAAAGACCCTTGCTCTTTGTGTGAAAGCAGTAGTTTCTCTGCAGAGGTCTGTCATACCACCTTCTGACTCAGACCTATCAGCAAAGTTCATGCTCCTGATCATTGGAAAGTTCTAGGTCTGACTCAAAAGAGGGAATGTCAGACTTCATTTCCTTAAAGAGTAACTTCACTTTTGTTGAGAAAAAAAAAAAAAAACATGGGTGATCGGTGTACATTGGAAGGATTTTAACAAACTTTGTTGTAGATTCCTGCATTTTGTTATTCTGAAGAAATAGCTGTTTGTCTGTGTTATGTGTGAAGTGTGAAGTGAATTAGAATGGGTGTGACTTTAAAACGATCAATCAGCTGCTGCACTTGCATGATTCTAGCAAGGAAAGTGGCAGGTTCTGAATCCTTTTAGATGTAATTTCTCTTTCGGAGTATCTCACAAAATATGACATTTTGTTGCAGGAGATGGCCAAAACCTGACTTGTATCTTAGTGCAAACTTCTGGGAAAAATCAGTAAGTCAATCACACAAGCAGGAAATGATATTTCTGGGGGGTGTCCTGTACACCATCTGTGTACAGAATGCCTCCATTCAGATGAAAATGAATTCTGACATGCCCCCTGCTGAGTCAGATCTAGAGCTCTCAAATCACCAGGAGCTTTGCTGACTGGAGATCCACAGACCTGATTTTGAAGGGTGTGACAGACCTCTACAGAGAGACCACTGCCTCCACACAGATAATAAGTGTTCCTACAGAGAGACCACTGCCTCCACACAGATAATAAGTGTTCCTACAGAGAGACCACTGCCTCCACACAGATAATGTGTTCTTACAGAGACCACTGCCTCCACACAGATAATAAGGGTTCCTACAGAGAGACCACTGCCTCCACACAGATAATAAGTGTTCCTTACTGCAGTATGCTGGCAGGATACAGACTTTTCTACTCAATAAACTTAACTGTAAGATTTTGAGATCTATTTTGTTTTGATTCATCTGGAATAGATTTAGCTCAGTTAAACTGAAATTTTAGTTGGGCTTTAAAAATTTCTAAATGCTGCTTACTAGTACAAGTCACAAAAGTGCATGAAAAAGTACCCATACTTAGGCAATTACATTTTTGGCATGCAATTAATACTCTGCAATATAATGTTCTATGCTTGCTGCTAAATGAGGCTTAAAAGAGAGCTGGCAGCTTTAGTATTGGAAAATATCACAGCTGGAAGATGACTGGTTGCTATGGCCATGTGATGTGAAGACTTTCAGGTCAAGCCCATTATTTTTTTTCACTCAAAACAATGAACACAATAGTCTTCAGCATCAATCATTTTGCTAGTTGTGAGTACTTTTATATGACATTATGCTATGGCCTCATACTCCTTTTTATGCACCGTAGGTTTTTCAGCCTTTTCACATCAGAGTACACAAAAGAGACACAGGATCAGTCCCCAGTCCCTCACGACAGCACCTGCTTTGTCTCCTGCTTCCAACAACTTATTATATTTATATTTGTAACAGCTACAAACATATTCTCCCTGGAGAAGAGATGCCTAAGAAGGGATATGATGGCGATATACAAATCTTTAAATAGTGACTCTAACATTTGGAGGAAATTATTTCACCTGAGGCCTCTAAAGAAGACACGTGGCCACACAATGAAGTTGGACAAGAGGTGGTTCAATCTTAACCTGTGTAAGGGATTCTTTACTGTTAGAGCGGTAATGATGTGGAACTTCCTTATGCAGTTGGTGGTGTCAGCAGGGAACGTGGATAAATTAAAATTTTTTTTAGATGTTTCTTAGTGAACACAATATACAGGATATGGAAAATGGAAGTGACATAAATACATACACACTCCGGTTGAACTGGATGACTGGGGTCTTTATTCGACCTTATCAACTATGTAACTATATGCAAGGATAAAAGAGCAACAATAATAACGCATATACAAATATTTACCATGAACTGGACAGTCTATGCTTGCAAAAAGTACTGGCTCAAGTTCTTTAAGTGACGCTCGACCTTCCAGTCTAGCAAGCAGCTAATAAAATAGAAATGAGAACAGTAATTAGTGCAAATAAAATACAGAGATCTATTCTGCTGCATATGATTAAAGGGTGTTTTATAGAAGAAAGTGGGACCTGGCATCTCCAAATTAATGGTCACTAGCAGGCCTTGGCTGGCCTTAGGGCACCTCGGGCATTTTCCCAGTGGGCCGGGGCTGCCTGGGTAGGAGGGGCGGCTGGGCGGCACATAGAGGAACAGATTCGTCCATTACTTTCCTGCTGCCACTAAATGCCTGCTTCTCTTCCTCTCCCTCCTGCAGGCATTCAGTGGTGGCAGGACAGATATGGATGGATCTGTTCCTCTATGTGCCGCCCTGGCCATGCTGCAGGGGGCCCATGTGCACACCTCTATCTCTGCAATCAGGGAGCTCATAGGGAACAACAGGCTTTCTCTGGTTTCTCTCCGGGGTGCAGTGCAGCTTTCTATGCCTGACATGTAGCCTCCTGTGGTTGGCAGAATCAATGGTCTCTCTACCAGCTGGCAGCTTCTCCACTGGCTGACCAAGCTTACTCCATCATCCTATACTGCCCCCTCACACTGTATACTGCCCACTGCTGCCCCCAGTAAACAGCCCACTGCTGCCCCCTCCCATATACTGCCTGTAGCAATTGTGCACACAGAGATGGACGCGGTCATCCATTTTGCTCCAGAACTACCAGGGTCACACAGGTCACACTTGTGACTGGGCCCTGGCATTCTGCCACCATAGTGGGCCCAGTTGCAGAACATGTAAAGGGTCCCACATCAGGACCTTAAAGAGGGGCCCCGCAATGACAGTAAAGGGTCCCAGGATCAGTCGAAAGGATCCTGGAGGGAAGGACCCCAGGATCAGAAGTCAGGGGAGACCATCACGGTTTCTTGCACCAGGGTCCTGAAGGTTGTAGTTATGCCTCTGCTCCTAGCCATCTTTTTTCTGCTGCCCACAGGCCCCTGTCCTCTCTCCTGACCCCCTTCCCCCCCTCCTCCCCTACAGTGCTGTCGGGTTCCCCCTCTCCCGCCAGCTGCTGCAGGGAATCTGGGATTCTCAGTCTAAAATGCTTGGGCCTATTTTTTGTCCCAGTCCGGGCCTGGTCACTAGAGTAAGTCTCAGTTCTGTAAATTCACAATGAATAGTACTTCTACAAATTGGGAAATCCAGTATACCACCAACAGTGGGTTCATTACATAGCACCTGCTATGGGGAAATCAAACATTTGGTGAATTCACTGGTTCCTGCAATTTGCAACTACATATAGGATTGATTTACTAAAACTGTAAAGTTCAAAATCTGGTCCAGCTTTGCATAAAAACCAATCAGCTTCCAGATTCGTTTGTCAAAGCTTAACTGAAGAAGCTGAAGTTAGAAGCGGATTGGCTACCATACACAGCTGCACCAGATTTTGCACTCTCCAGTTTTAGTAAATCAGCCCCATAGAGACAAGTTTTGTTACAATAAACTTAACATAATCTGACGTATAATGCGTAGTCTGAAGTTATAGTTTGTGAAAAATTAACATCAAACCATCAGCAGATCCAGCAATAGAGGCAGGTGAAGTTATATGTCACCCTTGGGGTTTCCTCCAAGGGCTCATTCACACTGGTGAAGTCTGTTGAAGGGTATTGAATACACAGGTGTTATCATGCGTAAGATAGCACAATTATTTGAAAGCCTTGCTTAATGCACCACAGCAAAGCTAAAACCACACCTGCTGCATTTTGTTTTTTATTGTGCTTCGCCGCAATGCATGATAGTACATTGCTGAAGGTTGCAGTGTGCTATGTGGAGGTTGTCGGAGTGCAATTCAAAATGAATGGCTGTGCAGTGCACCAGCATAGGCGATGATTTAGTGCAGTGGTGTGAAAGGGTCCTAAAAGTTTGGCCCCACCCCTTCCAAGCCCTTAGCCTTTTTATTGGTTAGAATGTCCTCCCTGATAAAGAAGTACAAGAGTCTTGCAGGTGATGGAGGGAGTGGTGCCCGGTTCAACAAAGTGATTGACTTGCTCCACATTTCTGATTCTATACCTTTTTTATGTGGTTTTAATGTGAGGGGGTTCACAAACTGTTCCATCAAACCATGAAGCAACTGGCTAATTCCCACCCACCCATACCTAAGGTATAGGTATATAGCTCTAATTTTATTTCGGAAAAATAAACTCCTTGTGGCCTCCAGCTCACCCATTTACGTCCCTGTGGCCCCCGCTCACCCATTTACGTCTCCTGTGGCCTCCCGCTCACCCATTTACGTCTCCTGTGGCCTCCCGCTCACCCATTTACGTCTCCTGTGGCCACCCGCTCACCCATTTACGTCTCCTGTGGCCACCCCGCTCACCCATTTACGTCTCCTGTGGCCTCCCGCTCACCCATTTACGTCTCCTGTGGCCTCCCGCTCACCCATTTACGTCTCCTGTGGCCTCCCGCTCACCCATTTACGTCTCCTGTGGCCTCCCGCTCACCCATTTACGTCTCCTGTGGCCTCCCGCTCACCCATTTACGTCTCCTGTGGCCTACCGCTCACCCATTTACGTCTCCTGTGGCCTCCCGCTCACCCATTTACGTCTCCTGTGGCCTCCCGCTCACCCATTTACGTCTCCTGCGGCCTCCCGCTCACCCATTTACGTCTCCTGCGGCCTCCCGCTCACCCATTTACGTCTCCTGCGGCCTCCCGCTCACCCATTTACGTCTCCTGCGGCCTCCCGCTCACCCATTTACGTCTCCTGCGGCCTCCCGCTCACCCATTTACGTCTCCTGCGGCCTCCCGCTCACCCATTTACGTCTCCTGCGGCCTCCCGCTCACCCATTTACGTCTCCTGCGGCCTCCCGCTCACCCATTTACGTCTCCTGCAGCCTCCCGCTCACCCATTTACGCCTCCTGCAGCCTCCCGCTCACCCATTTACGCCTCCTCTGGCCTCCCGCTCACCCATTTACGTCACCTGCGGCCTCCCGCTCACCCATTTACGTCACCTGCGGCCTCCCGCTCACCCATTTACGTCACCTGCGGCCTCCCGCTCACCCATTTACATCACCTGCGGCCTCCCGCTCACCCATTTAGGTCACCTGTGGCCTCCCACTCACCCATTTACATCTCCTGTGGCTGCTACTTCCACCAGTCAAAGCAGGCCTAGTAGTGTTTGATGAAAACACATGTCAATACCAACACTACTACAATATGATTTTAAAAAAGCAGACTAGGGTGCTGCTCCTGTTTTGTAAGCGAATTGCAAGAGTGGATCCTTGCAGGATTGAGCGGCCCCCTCAACTTGACAGGTACCCACTTTCACGTACGCTCTGATTACCTAGGTGATCTGAGTGGAAGTTCTCCCACCCCACACATCACAGGTCCCAGAAGACTGCAGGACCATTCAGATAGCACAGCGGACAGCCACAAGCATTCAAAGCCAGATGCCCACAGTTAAGATGATGGCGCTGGGGACCGGCTCAGGTGAGGACAGCGCTGGATCCTATGCCAGGCAAGTGTGTTTATTAAAAGTCAGCAGCTACAGGATCTGTACAGGATTTTCAGCTGCTGACATTTAATTTTCAAACACTGAAGCTTCTCTTTAACCTGAAATACCCTGAGGGAGATGAATAGAAATAGTCAGTTTGATGGCGGACAGCATGTTGAATCTTTGCTCTCTTGCTGAGCTCCGAGTGTCGGTGATACTCCATACTATTGGGTGTGTTGGATAGTGTCCCCCGCTAGATGCTGTAGTACCTTCCACCAGCACAGGACACAACAGTGACGTGAGGTCCGTGGAAGGAACCACTGCAGCCGGCAGGGGGGAGGACACCCTGGGGTAAGAGTGGCACTTAGAATTCTTCTGCAGGAGGGGAGACTGAGTTTACCACCCAGGGCAGAATTCCTCATCTCCTGCAGGAGAAATACACTGACAGCGCCACCTAGCAGCTGAACTACAGGTCTCTATAATAACACTGAGACAAATATGGAATGTGACAGGTCATGTGACCACTATCAGTGTGGCAGCTCCCTCCTGAGCCATGCCAGTAGTGCAGTGAGCTCTTCAGCCTTCATGAACATACACCTCCACACAACCAGTCCTCCACAGCTATGGGGCCGCCCACTTCAGCCCAGGGGGCGGCGCACAGACACACACGCCACCATAACGCACTGGGGGGGGTGCTATGAGGGGCACAGTACCACTAGAGGGCGCCGCTGCCCCTGCACACCTGAGTCCCCATTCACCTGAACGCCGGACTCCGCTCTGCGCGCTCCCCCGCTCATTGTCAGCGCTAAGCCCTGTAAACGTCAGCAGCCGATATCACTGGCATTACGCCTTGGTCTCGCGAGACCTGGATGCAACCAGTCTCCGATCACGCCTCACTTCCTCGGATGTGTGGGCGGGATCTGGTGCCGGAGAGGCGGGGTATACTAATAAGTGAGGTCAGGTCAGGCTGAGAGGGCGGCTCCCAGGCAGTGACAGCAGAGACGTATCGCGCTGTATCACTCCGCGAGGACTCCCTGACGTCAGTATAGTGCAGTCTGACAGGGAGGGCGGGGCTTAACGTTTATACGGCATGATAGACTTTACCTATACCGGGGGGCGGGGCCCAACAGAGTGTTCTAGACTGGAGGGCCTCGCTGGGGGACAAGAGGGGGGGGGGGCATTTTAGCTGATGAGAGAGTAACAGAGGTGGGCGTGGTTTCCCGCTGTTTGCAGAGCTGCCTGTTAAAGTGTGACTCTACATAAAGTTTTTCTGTAGTAAATTCTAGATGGCGTGTGAAAGGTTTACACTGGGGAATATGTACTGAAACTGGAGCATCAGAATCTGCTGCCGCTGTGCATAGTAACCAATCAGCTTCTAACCTCAGCTTGTTCAATTAACCACTTACCCTCCAGAAGATTTGCCACCCTTCCCGACCAGGCCATTTTTTGCATTATGGCGCTGTGTTACTTTAACAATTGCGCGGTCATGCAACACACTACATCCAAATGAAATGTACATCCTTTTTTCCCACAAATAGAGCTTTCTTTTGGTGGTATTTGATCACCTGTGTGCTTTTTATATTTTTTCACTATAAACAAAAAAACAAACAATTTCGAAAAAAAACAAATTGTCTTTTTGCTATAAAACATATCCTGTAAAAAAATAAAAAATCAAATTTCGTCATAAATTTAGGCCAATTGTATGTACATCAAATGTATTCTGCTACATGTCTCTGCTAAAAAAAAATCCCAATACGTGTAAACTGGTTTCCGTGAAAGTTATAGTGTCTACAATGGTGGTATAGATACTGGAGTATTTTTTTATGCTAATAATGGCAGCGATCAGCGACTTATAGCGGGACTGCGGTGGGCATTCTGACACTGGAGGGAACTAACTAACTGCCACTGACATCCCAATGACACTAATAGAGTGATCAGTGCTAATAAAAAGCATTACACTGGGCAGGATGGGGTTACCTCCTGGGGCGATCTGTGTGCTGTGTTGTGTTTTACATTATGTGCTGTATGCTGTTTTACTATTTAGACAAGCTGCTTTGTATTGCTCTGCTGTGCAGAGCAATACAAAGCAGCCTGTTTGTGCTGACAGGGGAGTGATCTGTGTTGTTTATACACAGACCTCTCTCCCCGTCACTGTTCCTCGGCGATCGCCGGGTGCCAGTGGGAAATCTCCGTCCGGGACTCGGTGATTGACAGCTGTAGCCGCCAATGGTTGCACAGGTAGGGCGGAATGCATGCGCATGCCCCCCCTACCTGGAAATACAAAATCATTAACAATAACATATAAAACCATTTATAACTCTGCCCCCAATTACATCACCAATCATGTCTCCAAATATCACCCAAACCGTCCTCTCCGCTCCTCCCACGACCTCCTGTTCTCTAGCTCCCTTGTCTCCTCCTCCCATGCTCGTCTCCAGTACTTCTCCAGAGTCTCCCCCATCCCCTGGAACTTTCTTCCCCAATCTATCAGACTATCGCCTACTCTGCCCACTTTTAGGCGATCTCTGAAAACCTATCTCTTCAGGGAAGCCTATCCTGCCCTCTGCTAATAATGGAATCTTCTATTCCTCCTATCAGTCCAACCCTCACAGTTATTACCTTTTGTACTACCAGCCCCTCCCTCTTAGATTGCAAGCTCCAAGGAGCAGGGTCCCCTTCTAACCCTCTTGTACTGAACTGTATTGTTGCTGTATCGTCTCCCTTTATATTGTAAAGCGCTGAGCGAACTGCTGGTGCTATATAAATCCTGTATAATAATAATGTATATATATGTGATTTTGCGCAGCCCTGCCGCCCTGTAGCAGTAGTTCTGCTATACGGCGGATGGGAAGCAGTTGAACTTTGACAATAAAACCTGGAAGCTGATTGGTCTCTATGCAGAGCTGCAGCAGATTTTGCACTCTCCAGTTGTAGTAAATCATCCCCACAGTGTTCTGTTTTTATTACTGTTTGCGTTACTGAGACTTCATCTATCACTTAACCCCTTGTTGTCCAGACAATTGTGTCAGTTCTCACCTGTGAAAATCAGCATAATTGTGGCTAGAAAATTTCTTAGCACACCCCAAACATTATATCATTTTCTGAAAGCAGGGGCCCTGGAGAGGAAAATGGTGGTTGTTGCAGTTTTTTATGTTTCACAATATTTCCACAGCCATTTATCAAACACCTTTTCAGGAAAAATACACTTAAATGAATTCTAGTGCAAACAAGCACAACATTATACCCAAAATTTCAGTAAAATATAAAATAATGGGTTGCATTGAATAAATAGATACAAAACATGTCAATTTGTGCGTGTGAAAAACTATGATACCCTGAAATCTGTATAGGTGACGCTTTAAAAGCTTTTACAGGTCATCAGTTTAGAGTTAACAGTAAACTGGGGTCCTAGAATTATTGCTCTCACTCTGATGTTCACGTCAATAACTCATATTTGTGGCGCAATGGATATTTACATCCACTCGCTCGCCCTATGCTTTGTGCTTTATATGGGGTGTGTGCAGGAGAGCGGTGGTGTTTTAATTTTTTTTATTGTATACAATATTTTTTTTTTTTTACCATTTGTTAACCACTTGCGTCAGACGGACATACCCTTTCATCCTCTGATTCAAGTGGACTACAGTCATGTCATTAGTATCTTTTTTTTTTTTCAGGCAGCAATGATCAACAGTATTAAAGCAATTTGAGCCGCCGGATAACTTTTACTTGTGGAGGAAGGTGGTTCCCCCCCGCCTCCTCCTTCCTCCTATTTCCATAGTTCCATCGGTTGACCATAGAGGTGATAGAGGAGCAGAAATGATGAGCATTTTGTAACTTCCAATTTTCAATTTTGGTTTGTTGTTTACAAGCCACTACTGGCATGTGAAAGCATCTGATCAAACCAATCTTGGTTTGATCAAATACATTTGGGGAAAGATGGGAGACCTGGGGTTTAATACAGCCCAGATCTCTCCATAAAGAAGACCTGTCACAGCCCCTGCCATCACAAAGGATGCTGTTCATCCCTTGTAATAGCAATAAAGATAAAATAGAGAGCGTAAAAAAACAAACAAACAAACAAAACATAAAATAAATAATTAAAAAAAAATCGAAAGCACCCCTGTCCCCTACGCTCATGCTTTTTATTGCAGAAGAGACCTGCATAGTCTCTTCTGCAATAAACTACACCTACCTGCCTGTTCACAGTGATCCCCATTTTGGAGAGGTGGGGAGACCCCTGTTTCACTCCCCATATCCCTCTTTATGTGTAAATCACCCTGTGCCTGTTAGGGGTACAGGGTGATCTGTCCTAATATTTGTCTCAGACTGTGTAGACATGTTTAAGAGATAGGTGGGGTGGGGGTTATTGATTGTTTAATATTATGTGGCTGCATTCCATTGTTCTATTGTTTGTCTGGCTTGGGAGCAAACTATTATGGGATGTATGTGTTTATGTGTATTAGCTTAGTGGGGGGTGTCTCCAGAAGCCATTCTTCCTGATAGGACTGTCTGCTGGTGTGAAGTTTGAATACCTGTGTGTCTCTTGTTACTAAATGTAGATTGCCCCACCCTGTGTCATTATGCAGGGAGGGGGGATTGTCCCCTGAGTGTATATATCTTGTATCTGTGTTCAAATAAGGAAGTCTACCTGTGGTTTACTTCAAATCTGGTGTTGTCTATATCTTGGGGTAACAATAGCCAGATTCACTGGTCTCGTGTTCCAGAGCCTGAGAAGCAGCTTCTTGACGGAGATACCCAGTCGTGGGTACCTGGGGTCTGTTACACCCGTAATTTCAGCTGAGCTGCGCATGAGTAGCTCAGTTTTCAGCGGCCGGCCCGATCCTGTGTGCTAGGACGACTAGCTTCAATGCATGCATAGGAGCAATGTCATCCTATGCTGATGGAGACCAAGCTACATGTGATGGCTGTGTGCGAATAAACTGGGGCCCTGCCTACAAACTTCCTTGAATCTTGGTGTGCTTTGTGTATATTTTCCAGATCTGTGCAGTAATCCAGTATAGAAATTTCCCTTGTGCAGACTCTTCCTGTAATAAAGACCATTCAGTCCTGCTCTCTCTCCTTGTGCATGGTGATTGGTCTTGTCTCTGCCCCCTCCTATTGTTTTCTGTAGTGAGTGGAGCCTGTTGGGCCCCTCCCACAGCTCTGCTCTATGCACAGGCTATGTAATTTACAATGATGCTGTCACTACTAGTTTTACAAGTTAATATTTTGGTTTTCAAAGGCATTTGGTGCACAGAAAGTGCATTTTTAATAATTCTTTTATTTGTGGAATTGACATACAGTAAAAAACAGAAAGGTTACACCAGAATACAAAGGATAATGGTACAAATGTCAAAGCAGCACATGAAATAGTCACACTGGGTCCATTGGGGTTCATCAGGTCATCATGAGAGGTCTGGAAGAAGGGGAGGATCAGAGAAGACAGGATTAAACAGTCTTTTCACACAATGCAGAGGATTAACCCCTTAGGTTCCGCAGTGAAAAAAATTAAACACAAAATACATACAGTAAGACATAGCAGGACCAGAACAAATCATTGTGCAGTAATAAAAAAACATCCTAGAGAAGAGGGGGAATATGGCAAAGCCTGGATAGAGTGGTACGACTGATGAGTTACAAAGATGTTAAAGGTAACATAAAAAGGATAGCGAACCTACATAGTAGGAGCTATAAGAAAAAATTAATAATAGCGCCTATGGTCAAAATTATATAACTTACTAATAGTGTACCAGCTGCAAAAAATCACCATATATAAAGTGTACCAATAAATAAATAA